CCTGCAGTGGCTGGGGGAGACCCTGACCCGGCTCCTCGGCCTGCCCAACCCGGCCTGAGCCACAATACAGCTCACCCCGACTGGCCCTGCTGTGTGCATCCGTGCTGGGGTGCCCGTGCCGTTGCACTGGGTCTGAGCACCCGGGCTGCTGGGGGTGCCGGGTGCCCCTGGCTGCTTCCTGCCCAGCGCTGCCACGCGCCCACGAAGAACCAGGATCGGACACCAGCGTCCGCCCTTGCATTGCCCCGGGGTCACCTTGACCCGGAGACGAGGCCCCGGGCCCGGAGCAACCGCCCCGGCTCACTGGGGTCCGTCTGAGGGTCTCAGCTGGGGAGGGGGCTCCATGTCCTCAGGGGACGGCAGTGGCGGGGGCTGGCAGGTACCAGGTCATCTGGCTACTGGCACCGTACCGGAGCCTCTGCAGGGCCTGATAGATGAGAGATCAGGACACGCTCCATCCCTGGCAGAGCAGGGGGGTCGTGCGAGAGATGCCAGGGACGGGGAGGGGATGGGGGGCAATTTTCTGCAGCATCCACGACCCCCCTGGCAGCAGCGGGATGTTGACGGCCATGGACCCCTGCTTTCCCAGGGGTGGGGGCGATGCCTGGGGCTGTGTCAGAGTTGATGGTAGTTTCACAAAGAGTTTAGATGACGGGTTTGGTTTGTCTGGGCTGGTTTGGACGGGGCTGATCCTGCCTCAGGCGGGAGGCTGGATGGGACGTGAGCTCTGGGCTGGGGCAGGGGTGACCGCTGGGGTACGAGAGCAAACCCACATCCAGCCCCGCTTCTCCAGCCCCACGGCTCCAGGGTTTTTCCCTGAGGGGGGGCGATGGCAGAGGCTGGAGACGGGCTTTGCTCTGGGCCGCAGGGGGCAAGACGAGGAACAACGGCCTCCAGCCTCCAGCTGCAGTGGGGGAAACTGAGGCTGGGGAGAGGAGGCAGCTGTGGGCTATGCACAGGGCCCAGCGGGTCCGGGACCCCGGAGACGCGGTGCAATCGCACCCTGGTGGCTCCCCGGACCCGGCTGCACGGCCCTGGGCCACCAGGTGCACTGCGGGGCCCTGCACGGAGCCAGGCCTGGAGAGGCCCCACTGCCCCCCAGCTGCTGCGGCCCATGGTACTGGGGCCTGGTGCATCGGGCAGGGCCCCCCATATATGGGCAGGCCATTATGATGTGCGAGGGGGTGGGGCCCAGGCAGCCCCGCCCTTCACACCTGCCATGGCAGTGCCGGCAGCATCATGGTGCGCTACATCCACTACCTGCGCCGCTACCGGCGCCAGCGGGCACGGCATGGAGCCCGGTGTGGCCAGATGGGGCGGCGCCGCCGGGGCCAGAGGCGGCGGCACCCACGGGCAGGTGAGTGCCAGCTTGGGTGCAGCCTGGTGCATCATGGAGGGGGGGGGGAAGGGGCTGTGTGTGCCGGGTCTGTGGGTATGTCCTGGTGTGCATGTGCCGGGGCGGGGCGTGTCCTGGAGTAGGTGTGGGCCATGGGACATGTGGGCACACGGGACACCCGGTTGCCCTGCACTCACCGCCCCGCTCTCCCCCAGCCCGGCGCTGCTCCCACTATCGGCGCAGCGTGATCTTCTGAACCCAGCACCGAGACCCCAGCGCTGACGCCGCACCCTCGAGACCCTCCAGCGAAGACCCCCCAGCTGAGACCTGCCCGGGAGCTGCCCTGGCAATAAACCAGCTCCGCACGGTCGGCTGCGACCGTCCTTGCCCCGCCGGGGCTGCATCTCTGCAGGGTCCAAGGGGAAAACAGAGCCTAGCTGCTGCCTGGTCCCACCTATCTCCGTGTGGGGACGGGGCTCGGCTGGGCCGAGGTGGGGGCAGCCTGGGCTCACAGATTGGGAGAGCAGCTCCCGCGCTGGCTGGGGCAAGCCTGGACATTGGGGTACGGGGGGAACCCACTTCTGGGTGCTCTACCCCCATGTGCCTCCCCAGCCTGGGGCAGCAGCCTCTCCCTCCCGGTGCCGTGGGACACAGACCCCAGGGATTACGCCCATTGCACACACCGGCCCCGGGCAGTGAGGGGCGATGGGTCGCGAGGGGCGCAGTAACCCTGTGGTAATGGAGGAGGCAGGGCACCGGACACGGCGCGGAGCGAGACAGTGGGAGACGGGGCTGCAGCGCTGAGTTTAATGCGGGGTGGCCTGGCTGGGCACTGGGCGCCGGGCGGGGGCTCTGGGCCGTGGCAGCTCCTCTGTCCTGGTCCGGGGGTCGCGGTGCCCGTGGGGGGCACGGAGGCTGGCCAGCTTCATCTCCGCCGGCGGTAGTAGTACACCGTGTTTGCCACGACGGCTGCAGGGAGCGGGGCAGCACGAGGGTCAGAGCTGCCATGTGCTGGGTCGGACCCTCGGTCCGTCCTGCCCGGTCA